ACTGAGTCACCTTCCCAGCCCCCAAACTTCTTTTTTCTTAGAGGAGAGAAATCTTTGTTCACCATCCCAAACCAACTTTCCTTTTTCCCTTCTTTCCTCCTTTCCTCCATCTCTCCTTCCCCTTCTTTCTTTCTTTCTTTTTTTCTTTCTCCTTCCTTCCTTCCTTCCTTCCTCCCTCCCTCCCTCCCTTCTTTCCTTCCTTCCTTTTCAGTGCTGGTACTGGGGCCTGAACTCAGAGCCAGAGTGCTTAGCTTTCCTTAGCTTTTAGCTCAAGGTTAGTGCTCTACCACTTGAGCCACACCTCCACTTCTGGCCTTTTGATGGTTAATTGGACATAAGTGTCTCACAGGCTTTTCTGCCTTGCTGGCTTTAAACTACAGGTACTCAGCCTCCTGAGTAGCTGGGATTACAGGTGTGAATCACTGGTAACCAGCTAAAATCACAACCTGAACTTTTTTTCATACCTAGCACATTGTAAGGTCTGTGGAGTATGAGTCTTGTTAGAAACCTAATTTCTTCTCTCTCTCACTTTTTTTTTTCTTCCAGTGCTGGCATCAGACACAGGGTCTTGTTTACGATAACAAGTTACAAAGCTACATCCCTAGCCCAAGGGACTGAGGAAGTATGAATCCCAATAGCTTTCTACTACTTGTTAATTATGTAATCCTTGGGTATCAATCCATTTTTTTTTTTTTTGGTCCGGTCGTGGGGCCTGAACTCTGGGCCTGGGCACTGTCCCTCAGCTCTTCAGCTCAAGGCTAGTGCTCTACCACTTGAGCCACAGCGCCACTTCCGGCTTTTTTTTTTCTTTTTGCTTATGTGGTGCTGAGGAATCGAACCCAGGGCCTTGAGCATGCAAGGCAAGCGCTCTACCACTGAGCCACCTTCCCAGCCCGTATCAATCCATTTTTATGTGCAATAATAATAATATACTTGAGAAAAATAGACTTAGTTCACAGTTTTGAAGGCTGAAAAGTCAAGATTAAGTGACCTCATCTTTTTTTTTTTTTTTTTTTTTTGTCGGTTGTGGGGCTTGAACTCTGGGCCTGGGCGCTGTTCCTCAGCTCTTCAGCTCAAGGCCAGCACTCTACCACTTGAGCTACAGCGCCACTTCCGGTTTTCTGGTGGTTTATTGGAGATAGGAGTCTCACGGTCTCTCCTGCCCGGGCTGGCTTTGAACCGCGATCCTCAGATCTCAGCCTCCTGAGTAGCTAGGATTACAGGTGTGAGCCACCAGCGCCCGGCTAAGTGACCTCATCTTTTTGGCCTCTATTAGGGAACCCTTGGCTATAGCATAACAGGAAGCTCAAATACATAAAGAGGCCTCCCTTTGCAATAATGATCCACTGTCCTAAGATTTCACTCACACTGAGAGACTAGCATTAATTTCTTCTAAGGATGATGGCCTATGTCCTAATTACCTTACACTAGACCTCATCTCTTCAACCTGGATCAAGTTTTTCCAGCATATAAACCTTGAAGGGACACAAATCATATCCAAACACTAGCACCCTTATTAAGTTAAACTCCTTGTTCTATAGTTTCTTCATCTGTTAAATAAGAAAAATGAGCAGAGCTTACCATATAAGGTTGTAATGTGGCTTCTTTACAAGTCTTCTCTGAAAGACAAGCTATTATAAACCTTCCCCTCATCTCAAAGGTCATATATATTCTTCCCCCCACCTCCAATTCAACAAAACCACAATCTCTTGACATTGCCTATCAATTTCCAGAAGGCTTAAGGGAGTGTGTCCAGTCTAACAGGTTTTTTTTGCAGCATGTCTCAGGGAAGTGGTCTTGTCATTCAGTCTACCTCTAGCTGAATAACCAGAAATTTGATATTGGATTTAGGTATGTCCATGAGTCTATTTTGTATGGATTGGCCTTGAATTCACCTAGGGCCAACCTAGGGATTACAGTTCAGTAGAATCCAGTGCAGATCTGACATGGCCTAGACAGTTTCTCCAGATCACACACTGCCTGGTGCTTTAGAAGGACAGTCCTTCCCTGGGACTGCTCCTGCTCTTTCCATCCATGTCCCTTCTATTTGTAGAAAAGAAAATGAGAATGCATGAGGGTTTCATGTTAAAACATTACACGAAGACCAAAGGCCCCTTATAGTTAACAGTGAAGCTAAGACAAAGAAGGCCTATTACCTGCCAGAGTCCAGAGTTCTTAGGTCCTACTCACTTGAACAGTTTTTCATTATTAGGACAAGTATAGAGTTTTATCTGAATCCTTATTGTTATTATTATCATTTTATTATTTGCACTGATACTGGAGCTTGAACTCAAAGCCTAGGTCTTATCTCTTGGCTTTTTCACTCAGGCTGGAGCTCTTGAGCCAAAGCCTTTTGATAGTTAACTGAAGTGAAGAGTCTCATGGACTTTACTACCTGGCTTAACTTCAACTTGAATCCTCAGATCTCAGCCTCTCGAGTGATTAGGATTATAGGTACGAGCCACTGGCTTGTGGCTTTTAAGAGTTTTCTGAGCTGGGCGCTGGTGGCTCACACCTGTAATCCTAACTACTTAGGAGGCTGAGGTATGAGGATTTTGGTTCAAAGCCAGCCCAGGCAGGAAAGTCCGTGAGACCCTTATCGCCAATAAACCACCAGAAAACCAGAAGTGGTGCTTTGGCTCAAGTGGTAGAGCGCTCACCTTGAGCTGAAGAGCTGAGGGACAGCGCCCAGGCCCAGAGTTCAAGCCCCACCACTGACAGAAAAAAAAAAAAAGAGTTTTATGAGTCCATGAGATTTATAAGTTAAACTCTACTATTGCCTCAATTACCTCTTAAATGAAGTCAAATCATCTAGATATCTCAGACTATGTGTATTTGTGATTTTTAGCTGATCAAAACTCACAGGATAGCATAAGAACACTTCACAAATATTCATAAAACTATGCTTATTTTATTTCACAATGTGCATTATAAGCTACCTGGTTCGCTTTCTTCCTTATCAGTCACAAAACAGCACCTGCCACTAATTTTTTCCTTTGCTGGTAGTCGGGTGTGAGCTCAGGGTTTCCGTCTTATTAGCTTTTTCTGCTCAGGGCTGGTGCTCTACCACTTGAGGGACATCTCCACTTCCAGCTTTTGGTGGTTCTTTTTTTTTTTTTTTTGTCAGTCGTGGGCCTGGGCTCTGTCCCTGCGCTCTTTACCTCAAGGTGAGTGCTCTACTGCTTGAGCCACAGCACCACCTCCGGTTTTCTAGTGGTTTATTGGAGATAAGAGTCTCACGGACTTTCCTTGCCTGGGCTGGCTTTGAACCCGTGATTCTCAGATCTCAGCCTCCTGAGTAGCTAGGATTACAGGTGTGGGCCACCACCACCCTGACTCGGTGGTTAATTAGTGATAACAGTCTCAATAGACTTTCCTCCCCAGTCTGGGCTGGCTTAAAACCTTAATCCTCAGGTTGCAACTTCCCTGAGTAGCTATGATTATAGGCATGAGCTATCAGCTTGAACTCAGGGCCTGAGTGCTGCCAGTTTACTCTTTATTTTTCCTTAAAGTCTGAGCGTATAGTTCTAATGTAATCATTATGCAGTTTGGATGTGATGTGTCACTTGCTCAGGCTCTTCTAGTGAGTCATTTAAATATCAGAAGCTGACATGTTACCAAGGCAACATAAAAGCCTTTAGATCCAGCCTTGGAGCCCAGGAGCATATTCAAAACTGGGATGCCAAAGTTTGCATTCCATTTTTCTCAATTTCTTGTTGTTTTTCCAATTAGGTTTTTTAACATTTTAATTAATTAATTTTGCTGGTGCTGGGGCTTGAATTCAGGGCATGGGCACTGTCCCTGAGCTCCATTTTGTTTTGTTTTGTTAGTCATTGGGGCTTGAACTCTGTCTGGGCCTCAGCTTTACAGCTCAAGGTAAGTACGCTACCACTTAAGATTAATTAGAGATGAGTCTCACGACTGCCTAGGATTACAGGTGTGAGCTACTGGTGCCTGGATCCCTGAGCTCTGATTGCTCAAGCTAGCACTCTACCACTTGAGCCACAGTGCCACTTCTGGCTTTTTCTGTATGTGGTACTGAGGAATCAAACCCAGGGCTTCATGTATGCTGGGCAAGCACTCTACCACTAAGCCACATTCCCAGCTCTCCAACTAGTTTCATAGCCACTATATTTCTGGAAGTTTCTAATTCCTTATTTTGTAATTGAGGTTTTTGTTTAGTATACAGGCTCACATACTTATCTTTTTTTCCTTGCAAAAAAATTTTACTTGCTGTCATAAATACAACTCCATTGTGTTAAAGAGGCCAAACTAAAGACAAGCCTTTAGCTAGTATAGGGCACATTTTCAGGAAAGGTGAAGTTTTTAATCTCACATTATTATTAATTTATTTATTTTGCTGGTCATGGGGCTTGAACTCTGGGCCTGGGCGCTGTCCCTCAGCTTTTCAGCTCAAGGCTAGCGCTCTACCACTTGAGCCACAGCGCCACTTCTGGCTCTTTCTGCTTATGTGGTGCTGAGGAATCAAACCCAGGGCCTCATGCATGCAAGGCAAGCACTCTACCATTGAGCCACCTTCCCAGCCCCTCACATTAATTTTTAAACCTTCAAAATGTGAAACAATTTTAGATTTACAAAAATGTGATTAAAAAAATAACACATCTCCATTGTACCTTTACCCAGCTTCACCTAATGTTAACATATTACATAAATAACAAATATACAAATATGTATAAAATATCAAAACTAAAAATCTAACAGCCTTGATGAGCATTTTTCCAGACTTACTTACCACTAATGCTCTTTCTTGAGCTTGGAATCCAATCCACAATCTCTCTTTGTAGAAAGGAGAGAGGGAGGGAAAGAGGGAGGGAGGAGGGAAAGAATGAAGGAAAGGGAGGAGGGAAGGAAGGAAGGAAGGAAGGAAGGAAGGAAGGAAGGAAGGAAAGAAGGAAAGGAAAGAAGGAACGAAGGAAGGAAAGAATGAAAGAAGGAAGGAAAAAAGGAGGGAAGGAAGGAAAACAATTAGATTCACTAACCTGTAGGAATCAGGGTTTCATCCACAGGCAAAAAAGCATCAGCTTCTATGGTGACTTCATGGTCATATATATTTGGAGAGCCCTGGGAAGGAATAGGAAAGAGAAAGAAAAGACTTACTGCTTAATCTTATTTTTACATTTACATTTTGCTTTTTTTTTTTTTTTTGGGTCCGGTCCTGGGCCCTGAACTCTAGGCCTGGGCACTGTCCCTCAGCTCTTCAGCTCAAGGCTAGCGCTCTACCACTTGTGCCACAGTGCCACTTCCGGCTTTTTTCTTTTTGCTTATGTGGTGCATGAACCCAGGGCTTCATGCATGCAAGGCAAGTGCTCTACCACTGAGCCACCTTCCCAGCCCCTTACATTTTGCTTTATTGTATAACATTTCTTGCTGCGTGCCGGTGGCTCACGCCTATAATCCTAGCTACTCAGGAGGCTGAGATCTGAGGATCGTAGTTCAAAGCCAGCCCGGGCAGGAAAGTCTGTGAAACTCTTATCTCCAATAAACCACCAGAAAACTGGAAGTGGTGCTGTGGCTCAAGTGGTAGAGTGCTAGCCTTGAGCTGAAGAGCTGAGGGACAGTGCTCAGGCCTAGAGTTCAAGCCCCACGACCGACAAAACAAAACAAAAAACAAAAAAACTTTAGATCCTAATAAATGGATGGTGATCATTAAATATAATCACTTTAGTGAAGGTAGACAAGGCCATTTCCAAACTTGTTCACTGATGAATTTGGTTTTTTGTTGTGGTCGTTTGTTTTTTTTTGTTTTTGTTTTTGCACTGTGCTGGGGCTTGAACTCAGGCCTTTCTATCTCACTTTGCTTTTTCACTGAAGGCTGGATCCTTACAACTTGAGCCATATCTCCACTTCCAGCTTTTTGCTTTTTAGTTGGAGATAAGAATTTCATGGACTTTTCTGTAAGAGCTGGCTTTGAACCACGATCCTCTAGATCTCAGCCTCCTGAGTCATCGGCGCCTGGTTCACTGATAAATTTGGAAGTTTTCAAAGTGTGACCTCAGGATGCATTTCCTTTTCTACATGGAATATGAAAGTGAAAATCAGAGTGCCCACAGTGGTTAGAGAGCCTTCTGGACCTTGGCTTCTTAGTGGAGGGGTTCTGCTACTGGAGCCAGAGTCACTGACAGTGACACACATGTCCTGGGCAGTCAAACCATGGCTCATCAGGAGGCATCCAGTACCCCTCTCTAGCACAGTTCCCACCCAGGCGACCCACTCCCTACCACACTACAAGTCTAAGTGTCAGAATTGAAGTCCATGTGTCTGAGAGATGGTTCTTCTGTGGAGTCAAAGGCTAGTCTAGGAAGCCCAGGTGAGTGGTTAGAAGGCCCCGAGGCCTATCTAATTTTAACTAACATTGAGTGGCCCCAGCAAAGCCCCAGCAATTTTGGATATAAAATTGGGGTGATGCTGTGCATTGGTGACTCATGCCTGTAATCCTAGCTACTCGGGAGGCTGAGATCTGAGGATCACAGTTTGAAGTTAACTCAAGCAGCAAAGTCTTTTTTTTGGGGGGGGGGGGGCTGGTTGGGGGGCCTGAACTCTGGGCCTGGGCGCTGTCCCTCAGCTCTTCAGCTCAAGGCTAGCGCTCTACTACTTGAGCCACAGTGCTACTTCCAGTTTTCTAGTGGTCTATTTGAGATAAGACTCTCACAGACTTCTCTGCTGGGGCTAGCTTTGAACCTTGATCCTCAGATCTCAGCCTTTTGAGTAGCTAAGATTACAGGCGTGAGCCACTGGCACCTGGCTCACAGTACATATTCTTGTGTGCTTTATTTCTTCCATACAACATAATGCTCTTGAGATCATCCATGCTATTGAATTGGTATGATGGTCCTTTTTACTGCTGGGTAGTATTCCATTATATGAATACATGACGATTTGTTTATCCCTTTATCCTGTGGATTGACTCATGCTTATTTCCAGTGTTTTAATATTATTTAAAAAAAGCTGCTTCGGAATTTCTATTTTCTGTTTTTTTTTTTTTTTTTCGTCTTCCTCTTCTAATTGAAGCATTAAGGCAGGAAGAAAATGACTCAACATAAAAACCACACACCAAATAAATTGAAAAGGAAAGGAACATTCGTCAGGCTCCACATGCTCAGCATGGCCATTAGGTCACCAAGCCCTGACATTCTTTGCCTCAAGAGCAGCATGCTTAACATCTGCTGCCTCTTCTGGCCTGGAAAATGTAGTGGTCTATCCTTGTGGAATATACTGTTGGGCTCCTTTCCTCTCAGGGAGGATGAAAACTTGGTAAGAAACACTGGTTCACAAACAGACCTTGAGGTTCATCTCTGAGCACAATGTGTTGGTTAACTTTGCTTGGCTGCTGCTAGGAACCATTTACAGAATTCATTTGAGTTGCACAGAGCTTTAAAGTCTTTTTGTACATTGCCATGACTTGCTACTACCCCCTAGCAAGAAGTAACAGACTATAGGTTATTACCCATAAGTCACTTTAACTTCTTTGCAATCACCTTTCCTTTCTTCAGGCCAGAAACATGGAGAACCTTGTTGATTTAGCATACTTGGGCCATAGATTCAGAGAAAGGGACTCTTCCCTGTCCCCAGAAGACAGTGTTGATTATTCTAAACCAATCATGGTTGTATAATCCCCTTGCTGGCAGAAAAAGCATGTATAGGTCACATTTTTGGCCAATAAAAATGTGAAAGTCAAGCTGGATGCCAGTGGCTCATGTCTGTAATCCTAGCTACAGGAGGCTGAGATCTGAGGATCATGGTTCAAAGCCAGCCCAGGCAGGAAAGTTCATGAGACTCTTATCTCCAATAAACCACTCAGAAAACTGGAAGTGGTACTGTGGCTCAAGTGGTAGAGTGCTAGCCTTGAGCTGAATAGCTGAGGGTCAGCACCTAGGCCCAGAGTTCAAGCCTCATGACCGGAAAAAAAAAAAAAAAAGTGGAAGTCTGTGTGTAGGAGGGGGGAGGGCTTCTAGGAAAGTTTTTACTTATTCTTAGAAAGGAAATATTAGTGGCATGGAAAAAGGACTAGGTCTTTTTTTAGATCTCTAGAGGTGACTAGGAGGAGGTGATTTCTTCCTCCCTCCCCCCTAGCTCCCTTCTTCCCTCCTTCCCTTCCTTCCTTCCTTCCTTGCTTGCTTCCTTCCTTTCTTTTGCTGATCCTGGCACTTGAACTCAGGGCCTGGGTGCTGTCCCTGAGCTTCTTTTGCTCAAGGCTAGAGCTGTCCTACTTGAGCCAGAGTTCTGCTTCTGGCTTTTTTTGGGTAGTTTTAGTGGAGATAAGAGTCTCACAAAATTTCCTGCACGGGTTGGCTTCAAACCAAGATCCTCAGATCACAACCTGCTAAATCGCTTGGATTACAGGCATGAGCCACCATTGCCTGGTGAGGATATTGAGCTGTAGCAACCACTCTTTGACTATTAGGTATGCCTGAAGACAACACCCAAACATTGAGGAAGGACAATGTAAAAATGGAAGAACCTGGGTCCCTGATGATGGATCTGCCTAGTCATACTAGAACCACACCTCTGACTCAAATTTCCCCAGACACACTCTTACAGCTCTTTAGGCAAATTTTCAATTAAAAAAAAAATTATCTGAAGCCAGGGGCGCTGGTGGCTCACGCCTGTAATCCTAGCTACTCAGGAGACTGAGATCTGAGGATCATGGTTCAAAGCTAGCCTGGGCAGGAAAGTCCATGAGACACTTATCTTCAATAAACCACTAGAAAACCGGAAGTGGCGCTGTGGCTCAAGCGGTAGAGTGCTTGCCTTGAGCTGAAGAGTGCAGGGACAGCGACCAAACTCAGAGTTCAAGCCCCACGACTGACCCCCCCCCCCCCAAAAAAAAATCTCTGAGTTTTATGTCCTGCACAGGATGGAACAGGATAAACAAAACAAAATCCAACAAAGCAGTGAAACTCCTGCAATCTCCATACCTTTTCCACTCATTGGAAAACACGACTTACTTTTCCCCCTAGACTTCTAATTTTCAAATGAGAGGTGATGAACCAATGCTTGCACTCCAAAGCAAAACAAAAAGATTGTTTGCTGAATTTAAAAACAAAGTATATAAAAAATACATAAGCAGACTATTTGACGTATTAAGTTTTGAATTGTGGATTCAAGCTACATTACTCATAAGTAGGGGGTAGCTCACATCTGTAATCATAGCTTCACAGGATGCTGAGATCTAAAGATCACAGTTCAAAGAGAGTCCCAGCAGGAAAGTCAGTGAGACTCTTATCTCCAATTATCTAGCAAAAAGCTAAAAGCTATAAAGCCCTGGGTTTGATTCCTCAGTACCACATAAACAGAAAAAGCCAGAAGTGGTGCTGTGGCTCAAGTGACTCAAGCCCCAGGACTGGAAAAACAACAACAAAATTGTAGTAAATCTTATGAATTTTGTCAAATTCTTTTTTGTCGGTCGTGGGGCCTGAACTCTGGGCCTGGGCACTGTCCCTCAGCTCTTCAGCTCAAGGCTAGCGCCCTACCACTTGAGCCACAGTGCCACGTCCATCTTTTTCTGCTTATGTGGTGCTGAGGAATTGAACCAGGGCCTCTTGCATGCAAAAGGCAAGCACTCTACCACTGAGCCACCTTCCCAGCTATTCTCATCATTTCTCTGTAAACTTAATTTTAAAAGTAGAGCTTCATATGGTGGTCTTTTGGGTATTTTTTTTTTTCTAGTTAAGGTCCCATGTCTCTAGTCCAGGCTGACTTCAAACTTTCTTTCAATCCTTCTACCTCAACCTATGGAGTACTGAGATTAAAGGCATGTTCCATCATACCTGACCTAATTTGTTTTAAGATTGGTAAAAGAGGGGCTGGGAAGGTGGCTCAGTGGTAGAGTGCTTGCCTTGCATGCATGAGGCCCTGGGTTCGATTCCTCAGCACCACATAAGCAAAAAAAAAAAAAAAGCCGGAAGTGGCACTATGGCTCAAGTGGTAGAGCACTAGCCTTGAGCTGAAGAGCTGAGGGACAGAGCCCAGACCCAGAGTTCAGGCCCCACGACCGGACCCAAAAAAAAAGACTGGTAAAAGAATGATGAATGTTCCTAAAGAATAACAAGCAAGGAAAGAGCTACAATTCTTTTTTAACCCTCACTTTTTTTTCCCTTCAGTTGTGGGACTTGAACTCTGGGCCTGCGCACTGAGCTCTTCAGCTCAATGGAGCATTCTTACTACTTGAGCCACAGTGCCACTTCTGGCACCTCCGCTCTTCACCTCAAGGCGAGTGCTCTACCACTTGAACCATACCACCATTTCCAGTTTTCTGGTGGTTTATTGGAGATAAGAGTCTCACAGACTTTCCTGCCCAGGCTGGCTTTCAGCTGCAATCCTCAGATCTAGGATTATAGGCATGAGCCACTGGTGCCCAGCTTGTAATTCTTATGTGCCCAGCTTGCAATTCTTATTTTTAAAGGGGTAAGTTTGGAAAATACATAAGAACCAATGAATTGTTATTTGAGAAAATAACAGAAAAAGATCGGCTGATCAGCACCAACCCCCCAAAATGGTAAAAATGCAAGATAATATGATTGACTGTAAATATTGTCTTGTAGTAAATTATGCCAGAGTGACTCAAGTAGTGTGGACAATGTAGAGTCCTTCTGAAAAGCTGGAAGTGCCTGGTACTGGTGGTTCACATCTGCAGTCTGTAATCCTAGCTACTTAGGGGGCTGAGGTCTGAGGACTGAGGTGTGAGGCCAGCCCAGGCAGAGAAGTCTGTGAGATTCTTATCTCTAGTTAATCACTAAAAATCTGGAAGTAGGGCTGGGAAGGAGGCTCAGTGGTAGAGCACTTGCCTTGCATGCATGAGGCCCTGGGTTCGATTCCTCAGCACCACATAAGCATAAAGAAAAAAGCCAGAAGTGGTGCTGTGGCTAGAGCGCTAGCCTTGAGCTGAAGAGCTGAGGGACAGCGCCCAGGCTCAGAGTTCAGGCCCCACGACTGGACCCCCCCCCCCAAAAAAAAAAAATATCTGGAAGTACAGCTATGCCTCCTGTGGTAGAATGCCAGCCTTGAGTGAAAGAGTTATGGCCTGGGCCCTGAGTTCAAGCTCCACTACTGTCACACACACACACACACACACACACACACACACACACACACACACACACACACACACACACACACACACACAGAAGGAAAAACACACAGAGGGATTAATAAAGATAAAACCCTCAGAGTTTGATTGAGCCTGTTCTTTCTTTTCTTTTCTTTTCTTTTTTTTGGAGGGGGCCTTGAACTCAGGGCTTGAGCAGTGTCCCTGAGCTCCTTTTTGTCTTTTTGTTTTGTTTTGTTTTTTGGGTCTCGTCTTTTTTCTTTTTGCTTATGTGGTGCTGAGGAATCGAACCCAGGGCCTCAGGCATGCAAGGCAAGCGCTCTACCACTGAGCCACTTCCCTAGCCCCTCCTTTTTTTCTTAAGGCTAGTACTCTACCACACTTAAGCCACAGTGCCACTTCTGGCTTTTTCTGTTTACATGGCACTAAGGAACTGAACCCAGGGATTCATGCATGCTAGGCAAGCACTCTACTGCTAAGCCACATTCCCAGCCCTGGCTGAGCTTTTCAATGTCTCATGTGAGAACCTCCTCAACCAAGGTTCCCATTAAGAGCGAATAAAATGACTTACAGGGGATCACTGAAGTTGTCCATGACTCTATGTCACCCTTAGGTAGACATTTTAAGGGCTCTTTCATTGAGGTTTATCCCAGTCTTGGCTTCTTTCAATGCTTTTATTAATACCTTCGTAAAGTACTTCTAACAGTGGCTGATAAATAATACCTATTATTGTGGAGTTGAGAGAACACATCTACTAATCCAAAAATCTCAGCTCTTCTACTTATTTATTATTTTTCTGCCAATACTGGATCTTGAACTTAGGGCCTCACGTTCTTGCTTAGCTTTTTCACTTCAGTGCTCTTGCTCTACTCCTTGAGCCACATCTCTACATCTTATTTTTTGCTGATTAATTGGAGATAAGAGTCTCATGGACTTTTCTGCCCAGGATGGCTTCAAATCATGATCCTCAGATCTCAGCCTCCTGAGCAGGTAGGATTATAGGCTTGGAACAGGTATAACCAGCTCTAGCTCTTCTAGATTCAAGTCTAGTGTTCTTTCCACTGTCACCTACTGTACAATGTAGTACTGGCTACCAGAAACCCTGGGAGGAGCTGGTGGGCTGCTCAGTGGGAGCACACACACCTTGATAGCATTATTATTATTTTTATTGTTATTATGAAGGTGATGTACAAAGGGATTACAGTTGCATAAGTCAGGCAAAGAGTACATGTCACCCCTTCCCTTGCTCTCTCCTAATTTCTCCCTCCCACATCCACCCACAAATTGTATAGTTGGTTTTCAACACAGTGTCTAGTGAGTGCCAGTGCTGCATTTGATCACCCTTTGTTCCTCCATTTCTGTGTCCCCCTCCTTCACACTCCCAAAGACAGACCAATTAACAAACAATACCCCCTAAAAAGAACACAAAAACGGTAACAAAGAAACAAAATCCTCTTGTTCCCATTTCCTGGAGTTCATTTCAATAAATATTATTTTATCTGATCAGATACACATAGGCATTGCATTTTTTTGTGCCAGTCTTGGGGCTTGAACTCAGGGTCTGGGCACTGTCCCTGAGCTTCTTTTACTTAAAGCTAGCACTCTACCACTTTTTCTGTTTATGTAGTACTTAGGAATCGAACCCAGGGCTTCATGCATGCTAGGCAAGCACTCTACCACTGAGCCACATTCCCTGCCACATCTCACCTTTTGAGAGCATTATTTAAAGGTACTAGGCAAGCACATTTCCAAAGATGTAAGGGTGGAAGACACTTTGAATGGCAGTAATTGAGAGAGAGAGAGAGTAGGAGTGCATGAAGGGAAGCAGGTGTAGGCATACTTTGTAATCAGAGGAAAGAGAGTTCTTGAAATAATTACTTATCTGAAGCATATAGGAAAGTCATTTTTTCTAGCAGCACCTTCCTGTACAGTTTCCATTTCTTGTATATTTATTATAATCCAGATCCTCTATTGAGCCATTTTCATGACCTGGGGATAAGCCTGTCACCATACTGGGTCCATCATCCACAAAGCCAGTCAATTACATTAGAAGAGAAGAAACAGGCTCACTTACCTGGCCTGCCAGGTTGAAATAAGAATGGTTGGTCAGATTGACTGGTGTGGTGTGACTAGTCTGTGCTCTGTAGTTGATCACCAGCTCCCCACCATCCAGGGTATATGTCACCCAGACTTTTAACTTGCCAGGGTAGCCTTCCTCACCATCTGGACTGATGCGGGAGAACTGAACCCCATTTGACAGCACCTGAGGAGTCCACAGGACCTAAAACAAAGTGTGCCCAATGAGCATTCGTCACTCCAATTCCAAGCTAAATGCCACACTTCAATATTTAAAGACAACTGATTCCAGAAAGGGAAATGCTTACATAATCACTTTTGACTAATAGTCTGAATTTTTTCCGATCTAAAAACTTTATCTTATACAGGCAAGTGACTTTGGAGAAAAAAAAATTTTTTTAGTTACTTACTTTCATTCCTTACATTCTTTTTGTTGTTTTTGTTTCGTTTTGGCTGGTCCTGGGGCTTGAACCCAGGGCTTATGCACTGTCCGAGCTTCTTTGTGTTGAACACTAGTGCTCTATCACTAGTGCTTTTTCTGAGTAGTTTATTGGAGATAAGAGTCTCATAGACTTTCCTGCCTGGCCTGGCTTTGAACTGCAATCCTTAGATCTCAGCCTCCTAAGTAGTCAGGATTATAGGAGTGAGCCAGCCGTGCTTGGCTTTATTTCTTACACTCATGTCCCCTAATATGCATGGTATGTATGTATATGTATGTACGTATGTGTGTACGTATGCATGCATGCATGCACAGTATTTTCCTCTTGTCTCTCTTTTTTGTGTGTGCGAGTCCTGGAGCTTGAACTCAGGCCTGGGATCCTTTCATTCAAGGCTAGCACTTGAGTAACATCTCTCTCCACTTCCTTTTTTTTTTTTTTTTTTTCTGGTTGATTTGAGATGGACTTTCCTGCTGGGCTGGCTTTGAACTGTGATCCTCATATCTTATCCTCCTGAGTTGCTAGGATTACAGGTGTGAACCACCAGTACCTGGCTGTTGATTTTGGTGCTAGGGATCAAACCCAGGACCCATATAGTAGGCAAGCACGCTATCACTGAGCTATTCCCCTCGACCCCTTCACAAACATTTGTCAAAAACACTCCAAGCTCCTCTTTGTGTAAGAATCCTGAGTTCACAATGGCTTCTCTCAGCTTTGTCCTAGAGGCCCTGAGACCACACTTCTAGAAAAGGGAAAATCAGTGTTCGTCAAGTGAGACAACTGGCTAGAAGCTTCACAGGGAATATCTTATCTTTCTCAGAGCAGACTTAAAGTAGGTTCATTGTCCTCACATGGTCTTGGACATGAATCACCTTGTCAGTAAAGTTTGTTTGAACCAACTGAAATGATCATCTTCATAGGTCAAAACAGTTGAACACTGACAATTTCATAGAGCTCCAACTGGCATTATTACCCCATTCTGTAGGCGAGCAAATTGAGTTCAGTGGAATTAACTTACTATTTCCACTTCCCTCATCCTGGAGGAATGGGATAGAAGCTTATTATACTTTCACATATTTTTGTTTAAATTTATCCACGAAATTTGTGACAGCACTAGGATTCAAACTCAAGTCTGGCTGTCTGTTCCACATCTTAGTTTCAGTAGTAAAAGTTTTATTCAGATTGCTATATTCTTTTCCCTCCCTTCTTCTTTCCCTCCCTTCTCTCTCCATTGGGGATGAACCCAGGTCCTTGAGAATGATCAGCAAGTATTCTGCTACTGAGTCAATATCTCAGATATTCATAGTCAACAGTAGAGCTGAAGCCAAACTGTCATTCTAAATAGAGAAAGGTCCTGTGTTAGAGGAATAGACCTACGAGCCCGGCTGGCAGACTACTTTGATGGATGCTGCATTGGCCCAGCAGGAATGGAGTGTCTGCCTTCCTTCACAGTGAAAGCAGCTGGCACTTGAAACACTTCACTGAGCTTAGTAAAAAATTAATTTTATACCCTAATTGTCTCTTAGAAATGCTGAACTTCAAAGATACTTAACACGGGATGTCTTTAAATGTGAAATTTAAAAAAATGAAAAGAAAAAATAGTTCTCCAAATGGAAAGTTTTAGGACTTTGATATCTGAAATAAAATGTCATATGAAGGATTTTTCTTTTTTTAATATATTTTTTTTTTGGGTCCAGTCCTGGGCCTGAACTCTGGGCCTGGGCGCTGTCCCTCAGCTCTTTAGCTCAAGGCTAGTGCACTACCACTTGAGCCATAGCACCACTTCCGGCTTTTTTTTCTGCTTATATGGTGCTGAGGAATCGAACCCAGGGCCTCAGGCATGCAAGGCAAGCGCTCTACCACTGAGCCACCTTCCCAGCCCTGAAGGATTTTTCTTGATAATATAGTTTCCAAATCTCTGGAAATTTCCCATCTCTAGATTTTCTTGTAGCATTTCTAGTCCTGTCAGATTACTTGACTCTCATCTTAAAAAACAAACAGACAAACAATGTGTGGGATAAATAGAAAAACACATGCCTCCAACTAAATTATTCATTGTTTGTTGAGATTAAATAAAACATAAAACAAAGTTCATCTGATGCTGTTATTATATCAAAACTTATTTACTCAAGCTAGGAGCCAGGGGCTTAGGCCTGTAATCCCAGCTACTCAAGAGGGTGATACCAGAGGGCAGCAGTTTGAAATCAGCCCAGGCAGAAAAATCTGCAGGATTCCATCTCCAATAAACTAGCAAAAGTCTGGCTGGAGGTGTAACACAAGCGATAAGAGCACCAGCCAGGTATACACAAGGTCCTGACTTCAAACTCTAACACTGGCAAAATTAAAAATTAAAAAAAAATTAAAAATACCTTATTACTCAAAAAATTTTAGTGCCTCCATAAAAATAAAATATTTTCCATTCAAATATTGTTTTATCTAGTCTCTAGGTTGCTGCATAGCCATTCTCTCCAATATCCATGAATGGAATAAAATGTTAACTATTCTTCTAGAGCAATTCTCCTCCAGGGCTATTCATTTATTTACACATACCCTCATGGCACACTGTTCACATCTATGTTTGTGCAGCTCACCTGTCATAGTTACCAGTGTATGAGTCCATCTCCCTCACTCCACTGTGGGCCTCAGGAATTTCTAGTCTATGATGCTCCCTGGTTTCCAGAAGGGGCTCACTTGGTATGGATTATGTCCCTCAAAAGTTCATGTACTGGAAACTTAATAAATTCATAGTAATGGTATTTGAAGATGGGACTTTTGGCAGGTCATAAAGTCAAGAGGGCGATACCTCCCTGGGATGGTATTAATGGCTTTAGAAGAAAAGACCCAAGACCCTTGCTTCGTATTGCTCTCTGCTATGTTACAAAGCAGCACAGTCTCTCACCAGAAGCCTGCATCATGCTCTTGGGCTTCCTGGCCTCTAGCACTGTGCGTTAAATTACCTTGTGCAATCATAGGTTACCAAATCTGTATAATCAATTGTAATAATGAATAAACAGACATGTTTATTATTTCATTGTGTTCACAAAGAGAACCCACAGGAAAGAAAAAAATACCACAGTGGGACAGTTGGCTCCACCCAGGACCAAATTGCTCAGGCTGAGGTTTTCTCATGTTCTAGAGATTCTTCAATCTAATAACAGGCAGCCAGGATACTTCCTCTGCCTTTTGCTTTCCATGGTGTGAGGAGTTCCTCACTGAGGAAGAGGAACCGACAGGATAGTCTGGTTCCTCACCTACTGGGTGAGTAGAAAACAGAACATCCATCTGCCTTCAACGGGAGAAGTGGCCACAGACTGAAAAGAAGAAACTGTGGGCCTGCCCACAAGTTCCTGCCTCTGGTAGCTCTAATCTAGCTAATCAGGTAGTGCTAGAACGTATAGGAAAGTTATCTCTGATGTTTTCTCCCTCACAGCTTGAAATGAAATTAGTTAGAGAGTTGTGCCGTTGGGTTAATACACAGACTCCTGAGGGGTCTGGAGGCAGGAGGCCAGGCTTCTGATCTCAGCCAGAAGACAGATTTGATCCATTTGCTTTCTTGGCCTGATGATCTACAGAAAGTGGAAGTAATGGAAGCGTGTATTTAGGAAGGGGGAACTGGGAAGAACCTGAGGTAACTGTGAGGTACAAGGCACGGCAGTGGAAGGGTAGGCCTGGGTGTGGTGCCAAGCTGCATGGGAAGAGGTTTGTAATGGGTTCTGGGTTCCAACAATCAGGGGCACCCACGGCAGCCTTGGAGGTCAATAGCAATTACAGTATAGGGATGGGTTTAGGGCCAAGCTGGCCTGGCTGTCCCACTTCAGAAATGTGTGGCCTTTGTAGAACCTTAGATTGCTCATTTGTTGCTAATGCATGCCCCTAGTAAGGATAAGAGAGGATATATGTGACTATTTCTGTTGTCATTGGTAGGAGTGACCCTAAATGCACACTTCTTCAACTTCCTAATCTCAACCTTTTTTTTTTTTTTGGTTGGTCATGGGGCTTGAACTCTGGGCTTGGGTGCTGTCCCTGTGTTCTTCAGCTCAAGGCGAGCGCTTCACTGCTTGAGCCACAACGCCACTTCCAGTTTCTACTGGTTTATTGGAGATAGGTGTCTCACAGACTTTCCTTCCCGGGCTGGCTTTGAACTGTGATCCTCAGATTTCAGCCTCTTGAGTAGTTAGGATTATAGGTGTGAGCCACCGGCTCCAGGCTCCCTGTCTTTTCTAAGTTAGGGATGATCATTCTTTCATTCAAGTCTTCTCTGCCTATGATAGTAGATGAGTTAGAAAACCATGGGACAAACAGTAGCACATGCCTGTAATCCCAGCTACTGAGAAGGCTGAGATGTGAGAATAGCAGTTTGAAGCCCATCTGGGCAGTAAACTCTGGGAGATTTTTTTCTTTCTTTCTTTTTTGCCAGTCCTGGGTCTTGAATTCAGGGCCTGGGCACTGTCCCTGAGCTTCTTTTGCTTAGAGCTAGCACTCTACCATCTGAGCCACAGTGCCACTTCTGGCTTTTTCTGTTTATGTGATACTGAGGAATTGAACCCTGGGCTTCATGCATGCTAGGAAAGCACTCTACCACTAAGTCCCATCCCTAGCCCCTGTGAGATTCTTATCTTTAATTAAGCAAAAAGCTTATAGTAAAAAAAAAAAAAGTAATGGTACAAGTGGTAGAATGCCAGCTTTGAGTGAAAAAGCTATGATGGAGCACCTTTGCCCTGAGTTCAAGTCCCAGTACCAGCACAAAAACGAAAATGAAAACAAACCATGGGAATAGATGTCATCAAAGTCTGCCTCCCTGAAGGTGGGAGAAGCCTCTTTCCTGGTTCACCCTACCTGGGGTGTGTTCCACAGCCTAGGATTGTGCCTAGCAAACAGACATGTTTGAAGGTACTTTGGCAAGTCTATGGACTCTGTCCGATGCCTCCACTCACCTTGTCAAACCCTCTGAGTCCTCCGTGCAGACTGTTGGGCTCTCTGTTAATGGCCAGGCGATATTCCTTTCCATCCAAGGTGAATGTTCCTTTAGCAATCCGGTTGGCCACCCTCCCAACTACTGCTCCAAAGTAGGGCTGCTTCTGGAGGTATCCTGCAATGGGCAGGGGATGCCAGCACTTTTAGAATTGGAAAAAACAGGGGGGAGGCTCACACTGCTGCTATTGCCCTCTTCTGAAGGAAGCTGTGAGAACGTCAAAGTTGTGTATAGCAGAGTCCTTAGGGTAGCACAGAAAAGCAGTCCTTGTACACACGACCTTTCCCTTTGCCAGAAGTAATTCATGTTCACTATGAACATTTAAAAAAAATTTTATAAACCACAAAGAAATTAAATCCCATTTAATCTCATCATTAACAGGAACCACTGCTAATACTGACTTCCTTCCCTTTTTTTTTTTTGCTGTCCTGGGGCTTGAACTCAGGGCCTAGGATGCTGTCCTTGAGCTTTTCAGCTTAAGGCTAGCATTCTACTTTTGAGTCATAGTGTCACTTCCACTTTTCTTTTTTTTTATTTTTTTTATTGTAAAGATACTATACAGAGGGTTACAGTTACATGAGTAAGGTAATGAGTACACTTCCTATTGAGCATTGTTACCCCCTCCATTGTTTTCCCCCTACCATCCCTTTCCTCCCTACCTTCCCCAAGGTTCTTTTTTTTTTTTTAATTGTGATTAAGTGATTACATAATTTCCCAAATTTCACAGTATTGTGGAATAATGATGCTCATTTAAAGTCACAAGTTCATTCTAACTTTCCTGGAGCAAATTGTCTATCACAGTCTATAACATATAACGGTGTTCACATGTTATACACCATACATGTGATCAGCAGCATGGGGATATTTAGTGTGGTTCGACCAGATGAGTGGGAGTTCTTTGTTTCTTAAGTCCTGTTAGTTTTGTCATATCATGTAACATTTTGGATTTAGCATCCACTTATCAGGGAGACCATGTACCGTTTGTCTCTTTGCTCTTGGCTTACCTCGCTCAACATGATTCCTTCCAACTCCATCCATTTCCCTGTAAATGCTATTATTTTGTCATTTCTAATGGCTGCATAATATTCCATTGTGTATAGATACCACAATTTTTGGATCCATTCATGTGGTGGGGCATCTGGGTTGTTTCCATATCCTAGCTATTGTGAACAGTGCTGCAATAAACATGGAGGTGCACGTGTCCTTGTATATTGGTTCCTGTTGTTCAGAGTAGATGCCTAGAAGTGGTATGACTGGGTCGTAAGGGAGGTCAATCTTTAGCTTTCTAAGGACCCTCCAGACTGCTTTCCAAAGTGGTTGTATAAGTGTACATTCCCACCAGCAGTGTAATAGGGTTCCTCTTTCTCCACATCCCCTCCAGCATTTGTTGTTGGCTGATTTGTGGATGTGGGACATTTTGACTGGGGTAAGGTGGTAGCTCAGGGTTGTCTTTATTTGCATTTCCTTCACCACCAGGGATGATGAACGTTTCCTCATGTGTTTCTTTGCCATTTTTATTTCTTCATCTGAGAAGTCCCTCTTTAGTTCCCTTGCCCATTTAGTAATTGGTTTGTTAGGTTTGGGAGGGATTAGTTTCTTGAGTTCCCTGTATATACAGGATGTTAACCCCTTGTCTGATATATTGCTGGTAAATATTTTTTCCCAATTTCACTTCCGCTTTTCTGGTGGTTAATTAGAGATAAGGGTCTCACGGACTTTCCTGCCTAGATGGGCTTCAAACCGTGATCCTCAGATCTCAGCCTCATCAGGATTGTAAGTGAGAACCTCTGGTGCTCAGCTCCTTCCATCTTTTAGTGTAGGCGTACATGTACTTTTTAAAATGCTGCTTCATAGTCTGATTTTTTAAAACACCGTGCTAGGTATCCACCATATCTACTTTGGATTGGAAGAAAATACAATTCAAATCCAATAATTGAGCCTTTGAACAGCTGGAGAGGCTCTCATGGACACCAAATCAATTAGACCAGTTATAGTCACAGGCTCTCATTACTCAACTGGTTGGGCATAGGTTAAGTATTAATAATTTACTTCTAGATTCACTGACTGGTTCATTCCTTGCCAATTTTTGATGCCATAGAGTCCTGTTTTTGACTATTACCACAGCCCCTGTGAGTTTCTTTTTTGTTTTTTTGTTTGTTTTTTTTTGGGTCCGGTCGTGGGGCCTGAACTCTGGGCCTGGGCACTGTCCCTCAGCTCTTCAGCTCATGGCTAGCGCTCTACCACTTGAGCCACAGCGCTACTTCTGGCTTTTTTTTCTTTTTGCTTATGTGGTGCTGAGGAATCAAACCCAGGGCCTCATACGTGCAAGGCAAGTGCTCTACCAATGAGCCACCTTTCCAGCCCCGCCCCAGTGAGTTTCTAAGGGCTCTGCATTTACTTATTTTAACCTTCAGAACATTTCTCCAAGGTAGATATGAGTATCACCCTATTGTACAAATGCAAAAACTGAAGACAGAAAAGTTAAGCAACTGGCTCCAAAACACTAGTTGATGGTAGACATGGATGTAGACCTGATCACAGACCTGAGTCTACGTTTGTTTTCTTGAGATAAGGCTTCACTATGCAGCTCAGACTGATCTGGAACACGCTGTCCTCCTGCTTGGGCCTCCTGAGTGCTGAGATTACAGGTGTGTGCCACCATGCCTGGCTCTGAGTCTATGGCCTTAAGCATCACATTAGGAACCTGTCATCCCTCACTATCCCTGGGGACTTCCTTTTAATCACAACATCCAAATCTCCAGATGTTCAAGTTCCTCATATAAAATGGTGTAGCATTTGCATATTACCCACACATATCCTTCCACAATACTTTAACTTTTCTGTACATTGTATGTAATACCTAGTACAATATAAATACTATATAATTACACTGCATGATTTAGGAATGACAAGAAAAAAGGCTAAACACACTTAGTATAAATTTAGTAAATTTCCCCTCAAATATTCTTGATCTGTGGTTGGTTGAGTGATGTGAATTCACAAACACTATGGATGGCCAGCTTGGTAAGCTTGTACTTGGTAAGCATAAGGCATCCTGGTTGACTGACCTTCCTACCATCTCCAGGCACAGGCTGGCTGATCTCCGCCAGCTTCCTCCTTTCTCCCCACCTCCTCTTTTGGTGAAGTTGTGGCTTTAAAACCCTGCATACTGGTTAACCAAAAAGAGTCCCATGGGTATAAATGACTGCTTTTCAGACAGAAAAAAAAGAGTGCTATCTTTCCTGCCCACCATTGATACTCTATAACAAAAGCTAGGTTAACAAAAGCCATGCATAACAAACTTATTTGATCATAGTTTTATGTGACCTAGGAACTCATCCATTTACGCTTAGGCTGGATGCAGGATAGACACGTTAGTGTAGTGTCCACTGGCCTGGACTGTGAGTTTCCTATTTTACAATTCCTGCTTTAGCTGGGATGATAGACAGGCACATGCCACTGTGCCCACCTTTTTCTATTGAGATGGGGGTTGTGAACATTGACTTGGAACCTCAGTTTTCCTAATCTCAGTCTCCTATGAAGGTGAATTAACAGGTCTATGCCAATATGCCCAGTTGTTGGTTGAGATGGAGTCTCAGCCTAGCCTTAAACTGGGATCCTCCTGACTTCTATCTCCCAAGTAGTTCGGATCCCAAACTTGAGCCACCAGTACCTGGATCATATATTTTATATATTTTTGTAATGACGGCTGGCTCTCCTAGATGAATTACATCATTTTATACAAAGTAAACAAAGTAAAATAAAAAAAGAAGATATTTGGAGACAAAGGGAAGAAAATAGATCAATTGCTCTCTCTAGAGACATCACATTTGTGTTCAGATATGGTCAGATACATATCAGTCCCTAGGATATTTAACCATCACAATCCATTTGTATTTGCCTAGCAAGTACAAGGCCTTAGAGAGGCGATGAAGGAGGCTGGAATGGTGAGTTGGGGAAGAGACAAAGCAGAGATTTAAGCCAGAAATTTCAATGTTCCCCCAAGGACACACTTAGGCATTTACAATACTGGGCTGCAACTCTTCTTCTTAGTTTTTTTTTAAATTTTTTTATTTTTTGGTCAGGGCTTGGGCATGATCCCTGAACTTTTCTGCTCAAGGCTAGCACTCTAGCACTTTGAGCTACAGCTCCACTTCCAGTTCTTCGGTGGTTAATTGGAGATAAGAGTCTCAAAGACTTTCCTGCCCAGGCTGGCTTTGAATTTCAATCCTCAGATCTCAGCCTCCTGAGTAGCTAGGACTACAGGTGCGAGGCACCAGTGCCCTGCTCTTAACTCAAGTTTTCTAAAAGCACTGCTGTATGTATGTATGTATGTATGCATGCATCTATCTATCTATGAATCTATCTATGGTGGTGTTAAGGATCTAATCCAGGATCCCACACTTGCTAGGCAAATGTTCTACCACTGAGTTATATCTCAGCCTTAAAACATTAATTTATTCTTTCCATAATGGTTCTCATGGCAGTAATAGCTGGCATTTGATAATAATTGGGAAGAAAAATGAAAGAGAAGTAGTCTCACTGACTGCATGGATTGATTGTTTATACCTGTGGCTCATAAGTAAATATTTTCATCACAGGTGTTGAAAGCAGTCCAAATAAGTATAAGAGGGTCACACAGATGAAAAACACTTTTAAAGTAGGAAAAATGCACAGGAGGCATTACTGTGTCACCCCCCCCCCCCCAGCAGGTTGTAATTTCCTCCTTTAGAATGCTATAGAAGAAAGAATTCATTTTCCCAGGGCTATTTTCCAAGCAGTGTATGTAATCTACCTGGGAAACAAGATTGTTCACATCCAAGCCAGCAGTAACAAAAGGACCATGGAGTTATTCATGTTTAGCACTTCCTCCTAACTCAGAAACATTTTGGGGACAAGGTAATCCTTTTCTTGTCAAATCTTATTACTTCATGTTATTTACCTCATTGGTTTATATATGCTTATGTAATCAGACATTTAAAAAGAATATACAATGAAAATGAAGTCTCCTTCCTATACCTAAGGACAGCCAAATACTGTTCTAATTTCTTAATATGGATGTGCGTGTGTGTGTGTGTGTGTGTGTGTGTGTGTGTGTGTGTGTGTGTGTGTGTGTGCTAGTACTGGGGCTTGAACTCAGGGCCTAGGTTTTGTCCTTTAGCTTTTTTTTTGTCAGTCGTGGGGCCTGAAATCTAGGCCTGGGCGCTGTCCCTCAGCTCTTCAGCTCAAGGCTAGAGCTCTACCACTTGAGCCACATGATCGACAAAAAAGAAAAAAAAAGTTTCATCGATTTTCCTGCTCCAGCAGGCTTTGAACTATGATCCTTAGACCTTGGTCTCCTGTGTAGCTAGAATTACAGAAATGAGCCACCAGGGCCTGTGTTAATATGGATTTTCTTTTCTTTTTTTCTTTGTCTGAAACTTGGTATTTGTGGCCATTTTCAGGGCTAGTGCTCAACCAAGTGAGCCACACCACCAATCCCTTAATATGGATTTTCATACACTAGAATTAATCAGAATATTAGCAAAGAGCCATTGCATACTCTCCTAGTGGAGAAAATATGTTCCTGTTATGACATGTGTAAAGTCTTTGTTACCTTTGTTACCAACATTAAAGTTGTCTATAAAAATCTTACACAGCACCTTCAAAAGGGAAATAGGGTTCACTTAGAATAACCTCAAAGATAGCTGAACATATTAGAAAATGTTACTTAATATTCTGAGGACATTTTCCTCTCTTCTTCTCTCTTGAAATAGATTTCTTCGAGCAAGAGTAGGGGTGACATTGTCCAAAAAAAAAATAAAGAAAAAAAATTAGCTTTCTTCCCATTTACGGTAACTCGATTATCTAATTTATGGTCGATGAATAAAAAATGTCCATCCTGATCCAACACCAAAAAGAATACATGAAATGCTTTGACTTGACCTGGCATTGTGTGAAGCTAGGATACTTTCTGATAAGAAAACCCAAGGTAGGTTGGCAATAAGAGAACAACTAGATCATTGTAATCAAAGGGAGCTAATGCCTTTTCTACAGAAATATCTAAAGGATGTTTCTTTTACCGAGACTCCTCCAAGGTTCCCACATTCACAGGTTACTGATTGTGTGAATGCTTTGGGCCTTGGACAGTGGACACTTCTACAAATGGCACCCTCAAGCCTTTCAAGAAACTGCTGCTTGCCAGATGCTGTCTTCTAGAGTCCATGGTGAGGGCAGTGTGCATGTGTCTTTGTAGAGGAGATGGTGACGAGGCAGAGAAGGGAAGAAGGTACCCACACTTTATCATCTCCACTTCTCTCTCTCTGGCTCTGGAATTATAGGCCATACAACCAATTCACCTTTAACTCCGCTGAGCAGTTTTGTACAAATCCAATCATGTCTTTGTCCAAGAAGATAGCTATGCTTGAGGCAGAGGTGAATAATTAGGCCAAATGATTCCAAAGATTTCCCTTTCTTCACGTGCCTGCCCTCCTGCCCTCCTGCCCTTCTGGCTGGAGGCAGGTGGAGTTGTTCTCCAGGTTCTCACACCTTCAGTCCACCAGTCAGTTTCCTGAGCCAGCCTCTTCAATACTTTCTTCTCCCACCTAATCTGTGGGGGCTCCAGAGCAGACAAAGATCCCGAGACAAGGAATAGGTTCCTCAGCAATATTCTCATAGGAAATTTTGCTAAGCACATTGAGAACAAATTTTTCGCCAAGGGGGATGGGGGGAGAGCTCACAACTCTCATAGTGTGTCTGTTGACCCCAAACCATGAGCCAAGTTAAACATCTAAAGAACCATACAGGCAGAAAGCCACACCACAAAGAAAACCTCAAACCTCACATAAAATTTGTCCCCACCCAACCCCTGAACAGAGGCTATTATTGTTTTGCTTTGCCAACTGTCTTTCAGACCTCATTTTCTGTGTAGTTATACTATAATGCCAACTGGTAATATGATATACAAACTGTAATTATAATTATTGGGTTAAAAATTGTCTCTACAGATGAACTGCAAGCTCCACATAGGTGAACCTTGTGTTTTACTGCATGAGTCCACTGAATTATCAGTTTTTAAATGCATGAATCCATAATTCTAATTGCCTAAGGATAGGATGAGGTAAAAGTTCTGAGCCCGATGGAAGCTAAGATCTGAGGATTGTGGTTCAAAGCCAGCCGTGGCAGAAAAGTCTTTGAGGCTCAGATCCAATCACCAGTAGAAAGCCGGAAGTAGAGGTGGCTCAAGTGGTAGAACTTGGAATGGAAAAAGCCAATGAAATGAGGAAGGCCCTGAGTTCAAGCTCCAAGCTCCAGTACACACACACACACACACACACACACACACACACACACACACACACACACACACACACACACACACACACACACACACACACACAGCACAGCCCATCTGGTTAGGAGACCTCTTTCCTGACAGAGCAACTATACACTAGGCACTGTTCTCTCATGGACCAAAGTTCGGAGCCAACGAGGCCACAAAGAGAATCTAAAGAGAAAAGGGAAGTAGGAGACGCAGGTCTTGGGCTTTCCCACTGAGAGCGCGCTGGGGAAAGCCACGCCCACCGTGGCCAGCAGTTCAAAGGTCGCCCGGCAGCCAGGGCTGGAATTCTGCCTCACCGGGGCAAAACCTGAACGGGCAACCAGAGGCCAAGTCGGACAGCTCTGTGTTCCGAGTTTCCCCTCCCAGCCCCAGCCCTCCCCCGCTCTGGATCGCCACACAACCTGTCAGCCGAATCCGCTGCGCTTTCAAGGTGGACGAACCCCAGCTCAGGAGCTCTGCCCCGCCTCGCCCGGCAGGATCCGGCCGGGGGTGAAGGTCGCTGGCAGCCCCGGGCAACCCACCTGCCAACTCGGCGAAGCCGAGCACCACGTCGGAGGCTTTTCCCTGCCTGTCTGGGACCTCCAGGGCTGTGATGGTGCAGCCCCAGGAGATGAGGTCCACTTTGAGCAGATCTGACTGCAGCCGGAACTTCTCCACGGGCCCTGCCCCCGACGGCAGCTCTCCAAACGCCGTCCTGGTCACCGACACCATGCTGCGCGGGGACGGAGCGCCGCAGCGCCGGTGCCTCCAGTTCCAGCGGCCGCGGGAGGACTGGCCGGCGCCTGCCGGGGAGGGGCGGGGCCCGGGCCAGACCCCTCCCCTTCCCGGCTGGGAGTTAGGGGGAAAAAGCCCGCTGTGGCCTCGCTGAATTTTTCCTTTGCCCGACGGGATACGAAGGAAAAAGTTCCAGGCCGGCTTGCAGTTCTTTTCCTTCTGGAACCTGGCTGCAGCGCATGCCGGGAGTAGCAGTCTTTGGGAGGTGCAAGTGCATTTTAGGGTCTGTAAATGCTGGGACTGCTGGGTTCCCCTCCTTTCTCAAGTTGCAATGCATGGGTCCTTAACGTTGGTGGCTGACAGGCCAGAACAGTGCTGGAAAAAGGTGGTGAACAGAATTAGAGATAGGTAGGTAGGCTTGGTAGGTGGGTAGGTAGACAGACAGACAGACACGCATAGATAGATAGATAGATAGATAGATAGATAGATAGATAGATAGATAGATAGATAGATAGATAGATAGATAGATAGATAGATAGATAGATAGATGATAGATAGATGGAAGGAGAGACAGAGACAGACAGAGACAGACAGAGAAAGACAGACAGAGAGAGAATAAGAATTAGGTAGAGATAGACAAATCTTGGGGGCAATTCTTGGTTTGATCCAGAACATAAGAAGCACAGTGGAGGCTGGGAAGGTGGCTCAGTGGTAGGTAGAGTGCTTGCCTTGCATGCATGAAGCCCTGGTTTTGATTCCTCAGCACCACATACACAGAAAAAGCCCTACGTGGCGCTGTGGCTCAAGTGGTAGAGTGCTAGCCTTGAGCTGAAGAGCTGAGGGACAGCGCCCAGGCCCAGAGTTCAAGCTCCAGGACAGACAAAAAAAAAAAAAAAAAAAAGTACAGTGATAGGTAGCTTAGAGAATGAGTAAATCATTGCAGGCCTCTTTGTATACTGACTGACAGAAGATCAATCTGTTTGTCCCTTGGACCTGCCAGCCTGGGGTAGCAGCCTAGGCAGAGATAAGGGATAGGCCTACATTGTAGAGTCATCAGTGAAGGCTTTAGACGTTCTTTTCTTCAGGAAAAAGACCCCCAAAGTTCCTTTAAGAAGGAATTAAAGGAACATGTATTTACTGCTGAGACTATAAAAGGCAGCACTGTTACTTTGCTGTCTCCTTTAGGAGTAATAAAAACTGAGGTTTTTAAATAGTTGTCTTGCTTTAGGATTATTTGGGATTAAAAAAATACCTATCTTTAGTGTCACTTCTGGGAGCCTGTGCTATACAGGAAGCTACATTTTTTTCTTTACCTTCCCTCAGACTATTCATTGTTTGTTTGTTTCAATTCTTTTTGTTCCTTTTTTGGGGTGCCTGTTTTTGTAGAGTTTTATTTAGCTAGTGAGTAACAACCACTTTTCTGGAGGAAATCAATCTACATTTGGAGGAGAGTGAATAAATAATTTTAGCTAAATCTTTTTCATCTAAAATGATTCATATCTATATATACTCTACATAAATTAATTATCCATATTAAATATTAGGTTAGCTATTTTCTGCATTACTCCATCTCAGCATGAAACTTATTTAAAAAAAAACTTTAATGGCACAGGAATGAATTATCTTGACTTTCAGATAATTGGTACTCTGAGAAAATTAAAAATGGATTAATCAAATGCTAATGCCTAAAGATCACACTTTGAAATACATAGTGCTTGATTAATTTCACCATCAATGGTTATTAGTTTTTCCCTCATGTTTTGTAGAGCAAGTTTTTTAATCGCATTATTTTTATTTTTAATATATTTTAATTTTCTTTAATTGTACAAACGAGTTGCCATTTAACAGCAATTTTTTTTCCACTTGCTTTTTTTTAGTTACAACTGGTGTGGCATTACCATCAGAGCCACACCTCCTTTTCTGTTTTTTTTTTTGTTTTTTTTTTAATTATGTTTTTGCTGGCTAATTGAAGATACACATCTCTCTGATTTGTATACCTAGGATGGCTGCAAATCTCAATTCTCACATCCTAGCTAGGATCAGAGCCAGTGGTGCCCTCAGACTATTCTGATACAGATGATCTGGGATCAGATTTAAAGAAATGCTTCTCTAAGGTTTGATGACTCAAAATTTCTGAAATTAGTCTCTGATGGTAGAGACTAAGATAAAACTACTAATGGTTTTGGGTTAAAATATTAGACATCTTTTTATTTCTTTGCTAAATCTGGCGGCTCTGGAAGAATACTGATTCTAGGAAGAAAAATGCTGTTGGAACCTGAAGTTTGATTTTACTCAATCCATCCGCACAGTGGGTCTTTGCCTAGCTCTGTTTTTGGCTTGCTTCCTAGGACTTTCAGATGGCCTCCAGCTAGACTGTGGAGAGTGTGGAAGTATGTCTGTGTTAGGAAATTAGGAGAACTAAGATCCTTTTCCTGTAATCAGATGCTAATGAAACATAATAACTGCCTCTCAACCATTTCTGTGGGTGAAATTTGAAGGAGTATTTAACATTCGTGCCACAAAGCCTCAGTGTTCCCCCAGAAAACTGGGGAACTCTGATAGCAAAGGGAAAAGAGCTTGCAGCAATGCTTCAGTGAAGTACAGCATTTAATAACAAAAAGACCCAAACAGTCAAATGATAAACCACAGCACCTTTGTACAATGAACCGAAAAGTACATAGCGTGTTATTTTACCAGGTCCTCATCAAGGTTGTAAGGCTCATCAGCCCACTTAACATTTGGGCCTGACTCAAACAAGCCCTTTCAGCAATGCTGTGTTAGTAAGGATGTCTTAGAATCTTCACCCTTTATTTCTCAGCCTCCAATGCTCAGTGTTCTACCAAGCTCTGGCTGCCACCAGAAAAAGAAATACATTTGAGTGGCTAGCACCAAGTATTGCAAGGAGAGGATGTCATAATGCTTGATTTAGTTAGAAAATGAAATATACCATGCTGTTTCTTTAAGATGTAAGGAATGCATTTTATTTTTTGTTTTGAAGTATTTAGCATATTGTACCCAACAGTAATACATGGAGTGTCAGCTGTCAGGCAGGAACTTTTGGTTTTCTCTATTCAAATTCATCCTTTTATTTTGCCAGTACTGGAGTTTGAACTCAGGGTTTCATGTTCTTACTTGGCTTTTTCCTGTCAAGGTTAGAGCTTTCCCGCTCAAGTCACACTTCTACTTCTAGCTTTTTTTGTTGCTGCTGTTGATGGGGTAGTGGTGGTAAGGCTTGAACTCAGGGCCTGGGTACTGTCTCTGAGCTCTTTTACTCAAGGCTAGGGCTCTACCACTTTGAGCCACAGTGCCTCTTCTAGTTTTCTACTGGTTAGAGATAAAGAGTTTCCTGCCCAGGCTGCTTTGAACTGCAATCTTCATATCTCAGCCTCCTGAGTAGCTAGGATTACAAGTATGAGCCATTGGTGCCCGGCAGATTATGACTTTTTTTTTTTTTGTAAAAGAGTATTTACTTAATTATTCCTTTAACCAGAAGGGAAAGTGCAGTTGAACAATAAAGCCTGCTTTGCTCAACTGGAGGTTAGCTGCCCCCCCCCGCCCCCCCCCCACACACAAAAAGCCAGGCAGGCCTGCGGTGATCCCACTTCTCAGTGCCACACAGAAATGTAGGGTATGCTGCTCCCAGAACCTCTCAGCCCCTGGAATGCTAGAAATGATTGAAGCACTGTAAGTTTCAGTCCCGTGTAACAGGGCTGTTATACTGAGAAAACTCTCTAAGATATAGGAACAGATGAACTTATAATTCATCTAAAAGACACCTGCCACAGATTCTCTTCTATCCGGTTGATCTATTACTGTGCACCTGTTCCCTTTCTCATTCCTCAGGCTTATTGTCAGTTCTGGCACTCAGTATTCACTGTCTGGAATAGTTCCTTATCTTTCCAGGAGAACAGTTTTGTTTATATTGTTTTCTAAACTATTGGCTCTTTGACTCAATATTTTAACTATATATATATGTATATACACACGTATGTATGTATATATATATATATATGAACCCAAACTCACTATACTTTGTTTAGATTCAAAATACCAGTATCTGGAAGCCAGAATACCTAGGAGAATTCCATCAACTTCAAGAGAGGTAAAATTCTTCATGGTTCAATACAATTTGATTTCATCAACAATTTTGGAGCAGCTGCCAGGAATGCATTATGGGAAGTACGTAAGAAGTTATTTAGGAAAATGGACTACATTTAGCTGTATAGCATATTGTTTATTTGCCAAATATTCACTGAATATGTACCAAGCACTGCATTAAATGCTGATTATACATTAATAAGTAAGGCATGATTTTTTTTTTACCTTCAAGGAGCTTACAATTTAATGTGATATAATTCTCACTTCTATTGTCCATAAAAACTTCAGGAAAATCTTCAAAATTCATTATCTGTCCATATAGCACATATTCAAGTTTGACTCCAAGAATGTCCTTCCTAGGAACTTATTAATAGGCATCCAATCCAGAATTATGTATGACATGTAGCCCTCTTGCCTCTGGGTGTGTGTGTGTGTGTGTGTTGGTCTACAGTTTGAACTCAAAGCCAGCGTTTTCCAATCATGGTTGGTGCTCCATGCCTCCACTTCCAGCTTTTTACTGGTTAATGGGAAATAAAGAGTCTCTTGGATTTGTCTGTGCAGGTTTAGACAGAACCTGATCCTCATGATCCTCATATCTCAGCCATATATATAAACATATATAAATCCGCTTTAATTCTAGAATAGTCTCAGCTGTTCAGTGTATCCTATGCTTTCTGTTGCCTCATAAACCTTTATCTAGTGTTTTAATTTATTTTTGGAATTTTTAAATTATCTTTAAGAAGCTTTTAAAAAGGAGTTGCCATTCAACAAAGCAATTTATGAATATAGTGCATCTTGATCAATGTCATCGCTTTCAACATTCTCACCCACCTCTCCAACCCACCCTTTCCCTCACTTTTCTTAACTTTTAGGTTATGCATTGAATATTTTTGTCATGTAACAAAGCAGCTTATGTGAATAATGCATCTTGATCTGTGGCATCCCTTCAACATCTTCACCTCTTCAGCCCAGCCCTTCCCTTATTTTTCTCAATTCCGTGGTACATGAAAAGTGTCAAACACTGCATGAATTTGTGTGTCATCCTTGTTCAGGGACCATGCTACTCTTCTCTATATCATTCCAATTTTATTATAGCTGCTGCTGAAGTGAGCATTTATCCAATGTTTTTAATATGTGCTGATGATTTATGCTTTAATCAATTATTATTGTGCTGGGAACTAAGCTTTTCATACATCTGAAGAATATAAGTTCTTGGGTGTGTCTCTATATATATGTATATATATATCTAATCATTTCTATGTTTTAGATCTATTCCTTACAATAGCTGTGAAAAACTCTGTTAGCTAAGCAAGAATGTTGTATCTTTCTGAATTTATACCTTTTTTTTTTTTTTTGGTCAGTTGTGGGACTTGAACTCTGGTCTTGGGCACTGGTCTTGGGCACTGTCCCTGTGCTCTTCAGCTCAAGGCGAGCGCTCTACCGCTTGAGCCACAGCGCCATTTCCGGTTTTCTAGTGGTTTTTATTGGAGATAAGTGTCTCATGGACTTTCTGCCCAGGCTGGCTTTGAACCGCAATCCTCAGCTCTCTGCCTCCTGAGTAGCTAGGATTACAGGTGTGAGCCACCGGCGCCCAGCTAATTCTTCACTTTTATAGAGACAATATAGCCACTTGTAGATGTCTTTTGTTACAGCAATACTTTAAGAGCCATAACTCTTTAGTTCCAAATGTTATAAACCACTTCAAACTTGGTTTAGGCTACAGGGGAAATGTATTGGTTAATAGAGTGAAAAGTCTTACTTTTCACTATATACATGGATGGATCAAGGCTAAAATGATATCAGTAGGACTTGGCTTTTCTTACCCACTTTTTCTTTTTTTTGAAGTTGGCCTTATTTTCCCCACTGTACTTTATACTTAATGATTTATAGCATCCCTAGGTTTTTATTACCCTACAGTAGCAATCAGTATGAAAGCATTCCTTACAATATTGGTAGAAGTCCTCTGTTGAATCTCACTGTGCAGATTTAGGGATTCTCTTCTAGACAGATTCCTATTACTTGATAAAGAAAGGCCAGATTGATCCAACAATAAGTAGCTGTCCTTCAATATATTGTGAGTGAAGATAGGTGAAAGGAAAATTCTGGATGCTAGTCTGAGAATGCATGCTGAGCAATAAAAAACAATATACACCCAAGAGAGCAATGGGGGGGGGGGGCTAATTTAGAGAATTATGACCATATTAGAAATTAAAAATAAGAAAAAGTGCCTGGCGTCCATGGCTCATGCCGATAATCCTAGCTACTCAGGAGGCTGAGATCTGAGGATTGTGGTTCAAAGCCAGCCCAGGCAATAAACTCTGTGACTCTTATCTCCAATAAACCACCAGAAAATCCGAAGTAGCGCTGTGGCTCAAGTGGTAGAGCGCTAGTCTTGAGCTGAAGAGCTAAGGGACAGTGCTCAGGCCGAGTTCAAGACCCACAACCAACGAAAAAGAAAAAAGAAAAAGTATACAGAGTCTTATTGTAGAGAAATTAAACATTAGGAACACACACAGAGATAGGAGGGAGGTAATGAAAGAGGGAACAGCTGATATTAAGCAAAAGGAAAGAAATGTACATATCACCCAATTTGTAAGAAATAGTTTTATTTTTAAAGGTCATAGAGTTCATAAACTATATAGATTAAGATAATGATGCCAGGTGCTGGTGGCTCACACCTGTAATCCTAGCTACTCAGGAGGCTGAGATCTGAGGATCGAGGTTCAAAGTTCAAAGCCAGCTCGGGCAGGAAAGTCGGTGAAAATCTTATCTCCAATAAACCACAGAAAACCAGAAGTGGCGCTGTAGCTCAAATGGTAGAGCACTCGCCTTGAGCTGAAGAGCTGACAGACAGCATTCAGGCCCAGAGTTCAAGCCCCACCACTGACCAAAAAGAAAAAAAAAAAGAGCTAATGATGAGTATCATTGTGAAGATTAAAAGGTGTTTGTGGCGTTAGGTAAGTGTATGCCACAGTATTATAAAAGTTATGTAGATTAATCAATTAAGAAATATTTAGAAAAAAATAAAGAACACACACACACAAAATGCGCGCGCTGGTGCATGAGTGCACAGATATATTGGAGACAGGGTCTCACTATGCACCTCAGGTTGGCCTCAAACTCACTATGTAGCACAAGCTGGCCTCAATTCCAAGATTTTCCTACTTCTACCACATGAGGACTGGGATTACAGGCTATGGCACAATGCTTAGCTCAATATTACATATAAAGGTGAAGTACAGAGAGGTTAGCTTCATAAGTCAGGCAATGAGTACATTTCTTTTGGGACAATGCAACCTCTTCCTTTGCTCCTTACATTATTTTTGGTTTTGTTTTGTTTTGGGGGTGAGTGCTAATGGAACCCAGATCATGCACATCCTATACTACTGAGCTACAATTCTAGCCCATTAAGAATATATGCATATATGCATGCATGTGTGTGTGTGTGTGTGTGTGTGTGTGTGTGTGTGTGTTGGTCTTGGGGTTTGAACTCAGGGCCTGGGCACTGTCCCAGAGGTTCTTTTGCTCCAGGCTAGTGCTCTACCACTTGAACCACAACTCTACTTCTGGTGTGGCCTTTTAAATGACCATATGACACTTGTTCTAGGGTCCCAAATGGCATACACTCCTCATGATGTTCTAATTTCCTGTTTTTGGACAGATTTTTTTTTTGTTTTTGTTTTTTGGTCATGGGGCTTGAACTCTGGGCCTAGACACTATCCCTCAGTTCTTCAGCTCAAGGCTAGTGCTCTACCACTTGAGCCACAGTGCCATTTCTGGTTTTCTGGTGGGTAATTGGAGATAAGAGTCACAAGGACTTTCCTGCCCGGGCTGGCTTTGAACTGCAATCCTCAGATCTCAGCCTTCTGAGTAGCTAGGATTATAGGTATGAGCCACCGGGGCCTAGCTGTATTGATCTAATCTTGCATGATAAATATTCAACAAAATGTAATAAGCCTGATTTTTGCCAAATTAGAACTTTGAAATTTTATGCCTTGATTAGTTAACATTAGGATAGCCTGTTTATAATAGAAATCCTAAATAGCAGAAAGAATATAAAAAGCATCAGCAAGAACTTCAGAGGGGGTCAAATGAAAGGGTATACAGATGGGAAGTGGTTCAGAGGGAGTCACTAGGTGAGCAACATGGCCAACCTACCTAATGCATATCATGTGACAAGCTCAGGTGAAGCCAGGAAACATATGCACCTGGCCAAATTATTTTCTAGTTCTCTGAAGGCTCTCTGACTTTGTTTTTGGTGCCAGTACTGGGGCTTGAACTCAGGGCCAAGGCATGGTCTCTGAGATTTTTTTTTTCCTCAAGTTTGGCACTCTACCACTTGAGCTCCACTTTCAGCCTTTTTGGCAGTTAATTGGAGATAAGAGTCTCATGGCCTTTCCTGCTCAGGCTGGCTTTGAACTGTGATCCTCAGATCTCTGCCTCCTGAGTAGCTAGGATTACAGGTGTGAGCCACCAGTATCCAGCTTGAAATTTTTTTGTCCATCCTTGATGAAGTTGGTAGTGTGACATGACATCAGAAGGGACAGAACAAGAAAGGAGTGGGGTTATCTGTGGCCAAATCATCACCAGAGTATGAACATATCCATGAGCCCTTAGTCTGGTCCTCAGCATTTGTGACAAGAACTCAGTCTTGTCAGTGTCCCAGGATTCATCCTGCTTTTAGTCTAATAACAGTTACATTCTTTTTTTTTTTTTTTGGGTCCGGCTGTGGGGCATGAACTCTGGGCCTGGGCACTGTCCCTCAGCTCTTCAGCTCAAGGCTAGCACTCTACCACTTGAGCCACAGCGCCACTTCCGGCTTTTTTTCTTTTTGCTTTATGTGGTGCTGAGGAATCAAACCCAAGGCCTCAGGCATGCAAGGCAAGTGCTCTCTACCACTGAGCCACCTTCCCAGCCCCAATAGTTAATTCTTAAGAGACATATATATATATATATGAGGGTTTTTTTTGTCAGTTGTGGGGCTTGAACTCTGTGCCTGGGCACTGTCCCTGAGCTCTTCAGCTCAAAGCTAGTGTTCTACCACCTGAGCCACAGTGCCACTTCCGGTTTTTCTGGTGGTTAATTGGAGATAAGAGTCTCACAGACTTTCCTGCCCAGGATGGCTTTGAACGGTGATGCTCAGATCTCCTGACTAGCTAGGATTACAGGTGTCTGGTTTATAAATTTATTCTATATAGTTGTTCTTCTGTATCCAATGGGGATTGGTTCCCAGGGTTCCTTGGGTATAACAAAATCCTTGGTTATTTAAGTGTCTATTATAAAATGGCTTAGTATTAGGTAAAGGTCCAATTTGTTTTTAAAAAGCATTATACTGATAATAATTGAAATGATTCCTTTAGGTATGTTCATTTTCCCTTAGATTATAAATACAGAGCCTGAGAAACTCCCCTGCTTTCCAGTCCTTGTCCTACCAGGGTGAGCAGGTATATGGAGAAGAGGGAGCAGGTGGCTTATGAGTCTTTGTCACAGCAGGAGGAGCCAGAGTCCTCAGGATGGATCCCCTGGCACAGTCCTCTGCCTTGTCCACCTGTTCACAATATGTGCTGCTGGCTTCTGATTAGAAGCCTATTGGCCTTGACAAGCGGTTCTTAAAAACCTTGGCCATGTTTTCTTGGAACAGCTCTGACTCTGGACCCTGAACTTCTGCTCTGTCCTCTATTTAGCACCTGGGATGGTGGTCTAACCACCCATCTGGTCTCTTCCATTCTCCAAGGTCTGTGGAGTAGCATGAAAAAGCAGTCCAAAGCTGGGTGCCCGTGGCTCACGCCTGTAATCCTTGCTACTCAGGAGGCTGAGATCTGAGGATTGTGGTTCAAAGCCAGCCCAGGCAGGAAAGTCCGTGGGACTTTTATCTCCAATAAACCACCAGAAAACCGGAAGTGGCACTGTGGCTCAAGTGGTAGAGTGCTCCTTGAGCTGAAGAGCTGAGGGACAGCACCCAGGCCCAAAGTTCAAGCCCCACGACCTACAAAAAAAAAAAAAAAAAAAGCAGTCCAGCTAACTACTTGGCTGATAGTTCTCCACTCAAGACGATTTGGCACTAGAGAAGGGACCTAAGGACTTCCAGTTAAAGGGATGCTTACAATAAAGACT